CTCAACCCAGGAAGATGTTCACAGCATCTGCTGCCTGAGCATGTCATGATTGGCCCAACTTAAACTGGCCACACGCTCACACAATGCCGTGCAACACGAAGAGCCACTCTCCCGAGTCGAAGCCTTTCCTCCTAAACACCCAAGCGCCTCTGCAAGTTGGACTTGGGACATGCAGCTAATCCTCTGCGCCTCGGGGAGCAGCATACACACCTCCTCCGAAAGGATCTTGCTCAAGCCGGGCACGTCAAAACCCAAGTCGGGAGCAACGTCCTCAGCATGATTCCACTGCGACTCTGCACTTCGTTGGTTTAGCAGCAGCGCCTGTCCTTGACGAACAGGCCAGCACCCTGCGCCAGAGCGTCGTCCTTCCAGCCTTGGAATCGAGTCTGACCCAAACAGTAAATCTAGTAGGTACATCGATGGCAGGAAAATTTATGTAAAACTGGAAGTGACAATCATTGATGTCGAGCTGCTTCTGTCGACAACAGCGCTCAGGGCCTTGAGGTCCAAGGCACGGACGGAGGCCGCGCCCTCCTTCCAGGATCAAGGGCTGCAGGAAGTCAATTCTCAGTGTTGGTTGAAAGTGTAGGGCAGTCCAGGGGTGACTGAATTGACACATTTTTCGAGACACTCGCAACACTTCACTACTCAATTCTCGGTCCATGCATCAAGGGGATTCTAGAGTCTAGATCACTCTCATGCACCAAGAATAGCACATCAAACCCTAGACACACCCAGTAGAGTCACCCCAACACTTGGCCTGCACGGTGAAGCAGAGGATCTCAGAGATCTCCGCTGCCTGGTCCCTCTCCGGCGGCACACCCAGGGCCTGTCGGTGTAGAGGGTAGAGTAAAAGTAGAGTAGAGTATAGAGTATAGAGTAATTATAGAGTATAGAGTATAGAGTATAGAGTATAGAGTAGAGTAGAGCAGACGAGGTTATCGTATAGTACAGGTGCAACGAGGGTAGAAGTTGGATTCTGCCAAGCGACCATCGCGCAACTGACTATCTGTCTAGACGCAGGCGTGCGTGTATCTATTGTATATGGTCCATATGTGATGATGTCATGATTATGTGCTCTAAGCCTATCTATCTGCCTGCCTGCCTGCCTTGTCGATCTAAGCTATATGCACGTTGCAGACTGCTACAGTATGTCTGTCTCTCTCTGCCTGTGCGTTCGGAATTTGATGGAAATCGTGCGACGACAAGGTTCCGAGCTTCTGCTGCCCATGGCCTTGATGCGGTTGACTGCCTCCTCGACACATCCGCTGTGGCGCAGTTCGACCAATGCCTCCCAAAGGAGCAGGAGAGCGCTGCTGACGTCATGCTTGCCTCATGTCTATATGCATTCATGCATGGATGCCCTGAGCCAAAAAAGGAAGGAAGCATGCCCCAGCTGGCAGGAAAGCGGGGGGGCCAACCAGAATTTGCAATAGGGAGCTACCCTTCCTCGAGTGCGGGCAGCGTCAAGTCTGGCGGCAAACCTCCTGCAAGGCTCCACGAACCCGACACCAGCAACCCAACATCGGGCCTTTCTTGTGCCCTCGCGGAACTTGTCCTGCTCGTAGGCCGGCACCGGGGCAGGCATTGAGGCCACTTTTCGAATCAGGCGCTCCTGGACAGAATGCTGATCTGGCAGCAGTACAAGAGGAACAGTAGTAGTCGTCGAGGAGTAGGCAGTATCATCAGGACATCTGGCAGCAGTACACGTGATTTGTAGTTGGAGTAGGAGCAGGAGTAGGAGGAGGAGCAGTGGTGGCATGAACACGACGAAAACATTTCACGAGAGGACGCTGTTGTCATGTTGCTCTTAGTGCTGATGTTTGAACTTGGTCTTTTGCTGGCAGCGGCAAGAATGAAGATGACAGTGCATGCACGAGGACACAAACGGATAGCTCTGCCGCTGATGGTTTCCATTCTGGATGCATTGCGGTTGGGATGGTGGCTGCGTTGCAAAAGCACACGGTGACAGCAGCAATAGCCCTTTGTGCTGTAGCTGCTCTCCGTACAATAATGCCTCGGCGGGCCTGAATCTCTGACACGAAACGTATGTTCGTGGGCTGTCTGCACGAGCTCAAGGTCCTCCACTTTGCGGCCAGCGGCGCTGTCGGCCACCTGACCACTGCAACGCCAACTACCGCTAGTACCTGCAACCTCGCCACTGTGGCGGCTGGGACAAGGAGGGGGGGGACTGCATCCCAGTCCCCCGTGTGATCTCACGAATCCAAATCTACCTCGGGCTTTGCAGATCCTCATAAGAGTTCAAGCAAGCTCCGAGCCTAGATCTAGATCCCGCATCGCTGCAATCCTCAATCTTCTTCCATGATTCCTTTCCTTATTCGTGGTCCCTCTCTTCACCTGGGCCAGCGTTATCGCCCGCTCGATTTTCTTCGGCCGCTTGTCCACCCAGCGCGCGCTTCGAAGGTCCAACAGATCCTTCCAGATGACTTCATTGCGGACAGGACTGAGATAATTTGGGATTGTCCTGCATTGCAATCACCTGAAAAGCGGGGCTCCTTCAAGAGGAAGCGCTCGCGAGCAGGGCACTTCTTGCCTTTGACGATGGTGGAGATCCTGGTGAGCCAAGTGGCATGAGGCACGCATGCCCGTGTTAGCAGGCTACGTGCAATCAACCTGTCGGGGTGCAGTCTTCACCGCTGCGGAAAACTTGCGAAACCGTGCTGGCGACAGGGCCAATCGGGTCTCGCCTTCGAATCTTTAGCGGCTTGCAAACCATACACCTCTACGCCTCGAAATGCTCAATGTCCGGGAGCGAACACGGTGGCCAGTGTAATTAAAGCAGGAAAAGACAGACCAAGGCGCTGATCGAAGATGGCATTCAGAGCCGTGAACTGTGGCCAATCCTTGAGAGAAAAAAATCAAGCCAGCGCGGCAGAAAGCATCGGATGCACGTAAAGAGCTCCAGAGCCCAAAAAACTGAGAGCCCTGGGCCCAAAAAACCGTCCGGGTGCCTTGTTATCGGCCGTTGGGCCCAGCACCGTCAGCATCGCGGCGATGGACTCCAGGGCCTCCCCGCAGAGTGAAGACAAACAGTCGACTCTAAATTTCACAGAAAGGGCTCGCTCGAAGTAAATCATGCTTGTTCTGCTCTATCTCACAGGTAGCGCCACAACTGTCCCCTCTCACATTCAAACAGTACAAGGCAGCTACCATTCATGGAATTGGGTCTTTGAGCACAACTCCTAAGTGCAGCGGACCTAGGGCCCTTCCTAAGATACCCACTGTAGAGCTCGGTCGTACAGCGATTCCGGGGAGCTGCCTCCGGAGTAGGATTCGACAGGAGCTCCTTGCCAAAAAGCACAACAGGGTTCTTTGGAAGGGTAACTACAAGGGTTACTACAAGGGTTACGTTTAGGGGACATGGGTTACTATAAGGACTACTGGCTCTCCGAGTAACTATAGGGGTGACTCTCGAAAGGGCAAGGAATCGGGCTTCACTGCGCCGCAGAGAATGCAAGTTCCGGGGATCTACCGAAGCCAGGAGTAGTTGTGAAGGCACATATGGCTCACAAACCAAACGACAGACAAAAACGGCACGCAGGAAGGACATATTGGCGAGTAGGAGTCTTGCAGGACATTCGAGAGCTTGGGGTATCACACTCAGTGGTGTCAGACTCACGTAGCCTGATTCCAAGGTTCGCGCACAAACTGAAACAAGGCATAAGCTTTACGCCTTTCTTCACCGTTAAAGACCTGCGAAACGAGCTACACATCTAATTACACTCCCGAAGCCACGGCTTGTGTCCTCAAGGATGGCGATGCCGACCTTACATATTCATGTGGCTGCTGTAGAGACGACGCAGATGCATCTAACTGCTGATCTTCGACAGTCCTTACAGGTTGCATGCGCTGACACGCGACATCCCCTGGCCCAGCAAAAAAAAACAACTGCTTAAGTAAATGCAGTTCCCGTTGGGAAGCAGGCCCCCTCAAGAGGGTCAATGACACCCGCTGGCCATCGCGCATGGCTGGGGGATGCCGAAGCTACAATCTACAGGTGACCCCTCAATGTTCGACATGATGGATCAACGCATCATTATTGCCAGAAGGCCCGGCTGGCAAGCATGCCGCGCGAGAGGAGGCCACCCACGAGGCGGATGTTGCCCAGCATGCTTGTTTTGTAGCGGACCTGACAAACCAGATATGTGCGCGATTGGCCGGAGCGAGACTCCAGCAAACCCAAGCGATGCGACTTCCTCAGCACATCCCATACAAATATAACGTGCTATACTGAATCCCCGAACGCAAGCAGCTTGCATTCGGTCTTGCCTCGGCCGCCGTGCGGTCCTCACACCATGCAGAGCTATACTATACAAGACCATATTATAGTATACTCTTATCTTGTATTTATTGTATTTTTCGGAAGCTCTCAAGAGCACAGAGATGGCTGCCGGCCCAAAAGTACGGGTACGAGCAGTATCGCTTCTACCCCTCTCCTACATCCATGCCATCACCAGCCAGGACACCCAGGACGAGGTGCTTCGGGGTTCACCCCGAGGAAGTAAATCCTGTCCTACCTTCGGCAAGCCCAGACCTCCACAACTCTTACTTCGGGTGTCCTAAAGCAGCAAATCACCGGGGACGCATACCGCAACCGCATAGACGTGCATACATACATACATACATACATACATACATACATACATTCATTCATTCATTCATTCATATACATATACATATACATATACATATACATATACATATACATATACATATACATATACATATACATATACATATACATATACATATATATATATGATAAGCCGACCATTGTGGATCCTGTCATCCTACGATACTGAACTTTAAGTCCGAACCGCTGAGAATCACCCTTAGACCCTGCATGTGTCGATCCTGTAACAAAGCCCCAGGGGTACAAAAAAAAGCTCCTCTCTTCTCTGTCTCGCTCCTGTCCTCGGCTGCCAGGAGCTCAAGGCCCTCAGGTGGCGACAAAAGGCGCTCGAAAGACATCCTCGGCTGCGGTGAGGTTTCAAGAGTTCGTCCTTTTTGCCAACATGGCCAGCTCCATCCACTCTTCTCTTGTGCTAAGGCCCTTTATTCTGGGTCTTAGGGCTTCATTCAAGAATTTCGGTTATGGGTGCTTGTTTAGTGAGAGGGTCTGCCGTCCGATGGTTTAGGGCTGCGGCATTAGGATTAGGGGAGGCGGTGAGCCCCAAGAGTTGGAAGTTGTGCTCATTTCAGGGGGCACGGGACTGCTGCCGGGAGTCTGGCACTCATCCAGCAGCAGTCTCTTGAAGGTCATCTTACGTCCGTCTGCCTGGCTGCTAAAGGCGAAGCCACATTAGCGAAGCTTGGAGCTTACACCCTATTGCATTACATTCCTACAGTTACATTCCTTTAGCACTCGCGCTCGAGCAAGTCAGGCATTACACACATACAGACATGATTTGATGCACATCCCGACCTTTCGGCTTCTCAGGTTTTTTTGGCCGAAGATCGGCTGGCTTGTCAGGCGCTTTTTGGGGGCGTGAAGGGCTATTCGGGCTTTTTAGCATTTAAGCGTTTTGGTTTCGACCTCGCGTCTAGGGCGAATCGACGGAATTGAAGGCCCTGCATTGCCCGCCAGCCTTCCCAGAGCAATCCTCGAACGGTTGAGCTGTAAAGTGCTCGTGCAGAAGCACGCAAAGATCCTCGGCTAGACAAACCAAGAGACAGGCAGACAGAGAGACTTCTTGCCATGCAGATTCTGTGCGTTTGCGACATGCTTATTTCGTTCTGTGCTCCTGAGCTACTTCCTTCCCCCACTTCTTGACCTCTTGCAGAGCTAGAGACTGTGTACATGTCGATGAAGTGGTGCTGCATCGTTGCCTGGGCCAGAATAATGCACCCCTTGGGAGGACTCATACAGGGCACAAACGGGGCGTCGACCCGACATCATTCTTGAGGGGACAACAGCAACTAAGAATCAGAAGAAGACTAATAACGTGGGCCAATGCTAACAACCATACCTGAGAATACGTACCCGTATAACGCTGCTAACCATAGAAATACTGGATACTGGCAGCCTGAACACTGGCCAGCAACTCTGCCCCGGCCTTCTCGAAGACCTCGTGGATCAACACTTCCACGTGCGTGGAGGTACGCAGGCCGCCTGGGCACAATTGCAGATTACGATAGGCTGGTTGAGAGTTTAGGGTCTAGGGGCAAGGACGAGCTTTAACCCCTGAAAAAAGGGTGGACTGGAGCTCAGCTTCTCGATAAGGTTTACGTTTTGGACTCGCACGCTTTCACAAGGCAGGGTTTAAGAATTACAAACGGAAGGCCGTGAAAGCCGGCCCGTTCTGTAACTCGCAATTTGACATGAAACCAACACACGCCCGGCACAACTATGGCCAGCCCCTGAGCACTTTTCGGGCTGTGGCCACTTGCGTCGAGATGATTTTACAAAGGTATGCGAATGTAGGTTCGGGGTGCGGAACAGGCTGAATCGATCTCCCCGAAACTGAAGACATGATCGGCATGGGACGGTTTAATTTCTTGATCTCTTGAGAGGCCGGTTGGTGCTTCGAGGTCTTCAGCTCAGAGCATCGAGTATAAGGCGCTTGCTGATCACTTAACTTGATACATGTCATAGCTATGCGGCTCCCTGCTTTCAGTGTAGTCGTCGTCGTCTGTCTGTCGCCGTCGTAAGATGGAGTAGAGCTCAACTTCGGGAAGGCCGGGGTTTACAATCGGAGCCCCGGTGACCGTATTTCTCCCCAGCAGTGCAGCCAGGGCACACTGAAGAAGCTGCTGGGAAAGGCCCGCGAACTTCTCGAGTGTTAGCTTGTTCCTCGGGTCGCAAGCTGTGCAAGCCACGCAAAATGCTGTTGCAACCCGCTTAGGTGCTCGGCTGGGTCAGCCATCCAACAGCAGAACCCTTACGAAGGCTGAGTTTAGCTTGGCCGAACATGTTCTGGGCCATCCAAGGTTCAAAATGGACTTGATGGTCCGTGCCACTTGCTCACAGGGGTCTTGGGACACCTCGCACGGACAGGTGGGCACCGCGCGACTGCAACCAAATTGTGCCTGCACGCCCGCATTAATTCGTGAATCCTCCACCCGAATTCCTAAAGCACCCCCAACTTAGAACAAGGTCGCACTCTTCAAGAGAACAGCCCACATGACAAGAACCGCCCTCCCACGGTCCCAGGTGCCTCCGATTGCTTGAGCTTACGCTGCTGGGCGGCCCAAGAATTCTCCGAGACCTCCAGCTTTCCGGCCTGGTTCTCACCGCGGAGCAGAAGGGAGAAGATAATATATATTGTATATTATATTATGTAGTATATATCATATTATATTATATATTTTATTATATGTATATTATATATAACAGAGGGAAACTCCACGAGGTTTTCGGGTTCAGGCTTTCGGCGCTCGCGCTCGGACACTCCGAGGGTTTAGGGTTTAGGGTCGGGGTTTAGGGGTTCAGAGTATAAGGCTCAGCCTTGCGATCTCTTCTCGTCTACATGTCCCTTTTCGGGACGAGCTGTTGGGTAGAATCAGACTTGGAGCACGCAAATAACCATCAGCAACCCAACGCATGCCTATAACAACTGCAAAATATTCAGCCATTGCTCTCTCCTCTTTACAGGTCTTTCTCAGCATCGCCGGAACCCCAGCAGAATTGGATTCTGCCTTGCCTTGCTTTTGCTGGAGACCTTGCCCTTCGGAGTCTTGGTCACAGGCACCGGCTCCTGGCTGTGGGTACGGTAAGAGGCATCAAAAGCCCCAAAGGCAGTGCGAAGTTGCTACATTATATTACATTAGAGTATGCTGTAGCATGTTATAGGATATCATAGTACATCATGGCACATGGCCCAAATTGCCGCACAGCACGGAAAATTGTAGTGCCCCAGCACCCGCATGGGTGCGTTTGCCGGCTATGGTCATGCACAAGCTGGGCATTCAGTTTTGGCCCTCACCCGACGTGATGGCGCTCATGCGGACGAATGACACGATGTGCAAGGCCGCGTTGAACATTGCGTTGGACGACACGCATGCACACTGCACCGTAAAGGAGTTTGCGGCTGGTTTCAAGACAGCCGCTGGCTTTCCAGACGTGCATCAGGCAGAACAGAGGCTCGCCAGGTGCTGGCATCTGGATCTTCACTTCAAACGAAAAGCTAGCAACTGCTGCACTTTATCCGACATGATGGCGCTTATGGGCACGCTTTGCAACGCGGCCATGTTGAGCATGTCGTTTGAAGGACACACTCGCATACTACATGGTTGGGGAGATTGCGGATGGCTTCAAGAAGTCCCTGGCTTTCCAGACGCGCGTCATCAGACAGAACAGAGGCTCGTCACACGAGGCCATCTGGATCATCGTACTGAGTGCTGGCTACTACTGCACATCAAGCGACGTGATGGCGCTCATGGGCGCTAATGACACGTAGAGGACTTATACAGAGACGACGAGTTGTTGGATCTGATGACGCTGGCTCTGTTATAGCAGTTCCTGAGCAACTCAGTGATGCAAGCACGACCTGTCTTCGAGCGTGGAGGTCCTACAGCCTTCATGCTGCTGTTAGGTGCGCAACTTTGTTGTTGTTTTTTTGCAGTGGATGTTATGTCGCCGATATCACCTCCATGAAGATGTTGTGACATCCTGGGTACGTTAGCGGTGTAGGGATGGCCTCGCCCGGTACCAATGAGGAAGATCCTGCCCTTCTTATGTCCAAATTTGGATTGCGCTTTGCTTGGTGCTTTCATGGCCGACTGCGGTATACAATGCACCCCTTGTCGTCCGAGGATTCTCAAGCAGTCTCCATGTGCCTACATACTTGATTTTGTTGTGGGTGTGGGACAGCTGTTCGACTGCTGATTAAATCACACCCGTGTCTGTGTTTAGTTTGTGCCAGATTTATGCACTCTTTGGGCTTTCGGTCTTGTACTTCATTGAGCATGTGCGGCAGATTTCTGAGACGACACAAACCCCTTCGGAACTGTGAGCACACACTGCCCCCTGCTTCAACTGGGTGCAGTTTGAATTCATATTGCTAGGCATGCGTACCGCGGACCCTGTGCGCTACGAAGAAGACTATTATAGTATGTCAGTTGGAACATCCCTCCACTGCGTGCCTTGAGCATAGGGGCCTTCTCTTCAACGATCTGGGTGCGGTAGATGATCAGAGGCTCCTGATTTCCGACTGGGCGAGCTAGATGCCAGTCTGGCCAGCTATCATTGAAGCTGAAATCCCGAAATCCTCCTCCGATTTCAACACGGCGCCGCGCCACTTCAGCATCTGCCTCGCTGGGGCGGGGGAGGGGGGGTTCACAGCTTCAGGTTTTGCTGCATGGCCACTGCAGCTTATCGCCCTCGAAGGTTCAGGCCCCATGCAGCAAACGTCGGGGCATACTGTCGCACGCCAAGCTGCTTCAGGCTGAAGACGGTCTCCGGATCTGAGACCACTTCTTCGCTGATCATGGGGCCAAGCTCCTCCTCTTCCTGTGCTTCGCAACTCGGACCGTACTGTACGTGTAGACATCACCACTAGGTCCAGGTCCCCAAACCCAAACTCCTTGTTGCTGCAGGCTTGCAAGCAAGAACTCCTAAGCCCCCATCTCCTGAAGCCAAAACTTCAAGCCCCACAAGCCTTGCTACCTCAGGCTCCTACATTAGTCCCCAAACCCTATATACCGTAGTTGTGGACCGCTTATGGCTTATAGCTCTCGCCCCTATTCTAGAATCATTGTAGTATTCTTGAAAAGCTTTGTCGGTGCCCTCATCTAACACCCTAAACCTAAACCCTTTTGCCTACACCCCAATATTGTAGAGCCCTTAAAGGTACCCTTAAAAAGGAACCCGTAAAGGATCCCTTAAAGGATTCCTTAAGGGTATCCAAAAAGGGGAAACCGTAAAGGTGCTGTTTTGGGGTTCCCAGAAACCGGCTCGCAGGAACCGGAGCTGACGGAGAGCTCCGCCTCTGAGCTGGCGTCCTAAAGCATCAGAAGAGGCATTTGGGGGTTTTCGAAAGTGGGGGAATATAGTACCTTATTACATAAATAGTAGGATCTTTATTATAAGGACCCCAAAATAAGGTACCCCCTTACTTTCGGAAACTCCCATTTAGGGATTTCAGGGTTTTGAGGACAGCAGGGGTTTCAGGCTTCGTGGCTTTGTTCGAATTCCTTGCTCCGTCCGCGGGTTTCAGATGCTTAGGTTCAGGTTGACAGTTTGGGGGGTAGTTATTGCCGAAACCAGCTTTTTTGCTGGTTTCGTTCAAGGCGGCGTTCAGCGTCGTGGGATTTGGGGTTTGGTGTTCTTCCCCAACTGAGGGCTCTGCTGACGATTACACTCGGACACTGCCAGGCAAGGTCAAAGTTCAGATTTATCAACGGTTTGTTTGTTTGGCTCTGGTGCGAACCGCCTAATTGTTTGTTTGGCTCTGGTGCGAACTGCCTAAATGTCCAGCATTACTAGCATCACCTGCGGTAAGATATCATTGTATCCACAGAGTGACAACATTGTATCTACAGAGTGACAAACCCGACATGTCAAACACATCTAAAAGGGGCAGGGCACCAGGTTGGTTGACCGTATCAAGTACTAGGGTATCATGTATACAACAGCAGTCAGCACGGGGATGGAAGTAACTGGTTCTCCGGGTCCGCAAGGCTGCACTTGGAACCAAAATCTGAGCTGTCAGGGTGGTGCCACGGCCTCTCACTCCTCTAGAGAACAAGAAAGTAATTGGCCTAAGCCTGACGCCTAGACCGAACTCCTGTGGAATGCTGACCGTTCCCTATCGTGCTCCTCTTCGCAAGAGGATGGTGTGGAAGTCTTGCCCTGTCATGCACATCATATGAATCAAGCAGCGCCGTCACATGAACCTCTCGTCTTCGTGGTATTGCGATACTAGAGCGATTCAGCCAATCTCCGGCTGTAGCTCCAAAACCCCGGCTGTTTCATGCAAAACGGATGCCGAAAGTTCAAAACCCCAGATGAAGGGGCTTGTGATCAGCTTCTTACTGACGACCTACAAGAAGACCTGACAAAATAAAGCGTCGGCGCACCTCGAGCAAGCCCGCAGCCTCATCGGCAGCGCAGGGCGACGGTTCCTCTGCCGGCTCAGCATCCTGAAACCGTGACGCTAGGGGCGATCGATCTGGCGAGCTGGGTGGGAACTCAACACTTGTCGCCTCAGACTTGCTCCCTCCTGCTGGACTTTGACAGTAGCAATAACTGAGTACCAAAACCTGCCAGCTCTCTCTCTCTCTGCCGTTGCATCCAGAGGGACTGCTGCAAGACCCCGAAAAAAGCACAAGACAAGCGTCCTCGGAGATGGCTTCGCTGGAGGTGTCCAGGGCATCTGGCACCTTCTTCTCTTTCCTTGCCGATTTCACTCCCATCTTCGCCACTCTAGGACCCTGAATTTCTGAATCTAGGAGTCTACGATTTTCCAACCCCCAATCAAAAGCTCCCTCTTGCTCTCGCCGACCGGTCAGAGCGTGCCCCAGACACTATCATCCCTGGTTCCTCAGACGTTGAGCACACTATCTCTGAGCCGCGGTACGCAGCAGCGATTTTGGCGGGGATCTCGGCGTCAGAATCCTTAGGCACTGGACTATACTGGATTCACCCTAAACCCTAAACCCTATTCATGACTCGGACATGTGAGAAACTTGTTGCTCCTAGCAAGGTTGGGGCTCCAGCGGCATCTCAAAAGTCATGGTCGTGCATGCGCCAACTACACCCACTTATCTACCCGTAGAAAAGGCTATCTAAAAAAACTCCATGTGATTGTGTACTATATTATGTCATGTTGCAGAAACGAGCTATTGTGGTTAGACCCGGTGGCTGAATCGGAGATGTCAGAGAAATCGTCGAGATTGATTGCAGCCTCAGGCTCTTCAAAGTGTCGGGACGACTGAGTCCCAGAGCTTGAGGATGTGGGCTAAGGGCTAAAGGGGTCTCGGTTGGCCCTCATCGCAGCAGCTGAGAAGCAGCCTCAACAACCAAATCAAGTCTACGAGGCTCCGAAAAGGAATCCTCAACCCTTTTTTGAAACTCTAAACCCTAGATCATCCGAGGGACTGCACGAGGGTTGCGGGGACGGCTGGCGTAAGCGCTCTTGGCATAGTGGCCAAAGTTGGAATTGGTGTAGTGGCCGTCTCCATAGTAGCCCTGATTATAAGCATCACCACTGTAGGCCGCGTTGCTGTATGCAACATCTTGGTAGCAGTCGTAGCCATACGCAGTGTTCGCATAGTAGCCAGTCATGGCGCCTTGCTCCTGGCCCCGGTACTGGCAGTACGTGGCCGAGGACGAATAATACTGATTCTGCATGGTGTGCGCAGGAGCAGCACCACTTGGCTGGAACTCCGGCGCGAAGGAAGAGAGCGTAGATGGATTCGCAGACATGTCCGGTAGTTTCTTGGAGAGGCGAGGATCAGGCGCAGGAGACTGCTTGCACAGTTCGAGCGCCTTGCTACAGATATGTATCGGAATTTGGGATGACAAAGGTATGTCGAAGCCAAATAGCTGCGGCGATTGAATTGCAAATCCAAAGCTTGCTCCACGACATAATGAGGGATTCATGCAGCGCGACGATTCCCAGGCTCGACAGGCTACCCAGCCCGCGTCTGCCAGGCTAATGACATGAACAGGCTCGTGCGATCGGGCGCACTTGCTTCGGAAGCTACTAGCGCTTATCCCTCTTAGTATTTATGATAGACTATGTTATACTATGATATACAATAACATACTAAAATATATATTACAATATACTATGTGGATGGACTACAGTGTAAAGTTGTAATATAGTGTAATAATGTACGATTCCTTAGCTATGTAATCTATTATCCCTCTGCTTGCAGGGTTGGTTGCAGGCGGATGCGGTGCATCAGCTCCTGCTGCATTTTTCCTTGGATGCTGATGGGGTTTGGGGGTGCCAACATAACATAACATACTATACTATACTGTACTACACTATACGGTGCTATGATATAATATGATGAGTATAACATACTATGCTATAATGTACCTTTTTTTCTGTGCGATAATATAATATGACGATGAGCAAGTAGGTGCACAACTGTGCGAAGGGGGAGCTACATCGAAGCGTGGTTGTCGACGACCTGCATTAACTGCATCGAAGCTGCCAGCGACAATGGACGAGAATGTTGACTTCCTTGGATCTGCTGCAGACATCTGAGCGAAGGTAGTTACTAAGCTTCTTGCACAGAAACCCAACAGTTTACCAGGGCGCAGCCTTGCCTTTGAGCCCCTTGGCTTGAAAAGAAACCGAACCCAACAGACCCCAACCAATGAAGATGCCGCCCAAGTGCTCGATAGACCAGAGCTCCGCTTCCGGGGAAGAAACCTTTCCGTGAGCTGAAGGCAGGGCCGCTATTGATCAAGGTAGGGCTAGACGCTGTGGGTTTCGACCTCTTCGCCGAGCTTAAATCCACAGCGTCGGGTTCTGGATTGCTTTTGGCATCGGCTCGGTTTCAAGGTCAGGGCTCGAAACCCACTGGGGCCCAGCATGGTCTATTCTGGATTCGAGGTTCCAGTTCCAGGGTGACGTTTCACCGTGGTTTTGACCTTACCTCACGCCTCTCCAGCACCAGCAGAACACACTTCCAACTCGGGTGTATCACATCACATCAACTCATCGCCGTGCTGGGAGAGCTTTCTGTCGACTTTCCCGGGTTCCCGGGTCCAGACCTCCACGGTGGCTGTGCGCGGCTCGTCGAATAGCAGAGCACGCTCGCCAAAGTAGGAATTCTTCGTCATGGTACCTTGGTTGCACGTGGCAAGACCTGAACTCCTTGAACCAGGCATGTCTCCAACCTGAGAAATCTGCCAGTCCACTCTCGGGTTCGGGTTGCGAGCTTTGCCAGCGGCTCGTTCAATGATCGCTATGCATGGGGGATACGTGTCGGACGAGAATCCTTTCGGGGAGGGCGGCGTACACAAGTAATTCTGCCACGGACTCGCATGATAGGCTGCTGTGACTGAATGCTACATGTACAGTTGCATAACCCGGTGGCACGAAAAGACGACACTTGAACCCATGCAGTCAGTTCTCACTGCATTAACTCCGAACAACCTTACGGAAGAGTGCTTTTGCCGTGCTGCGCAGCATGAACCCAAGAGGGAGCGTACTCTCCGTAAACCCGAGAATTGAACGGCTGATTGGGCTGAGGCTGAGCCGGGGGCGGATGAATTTTCCATCGATCTCGACATTGACGTCGCCACTAGCGATGACGAAGAAGGACGCACCAACTTCTCCCTGCTTAATGACATGGGCACCTGTCAGCACGGGTGGCCAAGCTCGCGGTGCTAGAAGGCAGGGGCTTGGGGCCTGGCGCTTGCAGGATGGTGCTGAAAACTTCTTCAAGTACCCAGTAGCCGTTATGAAGTCCCCGGCACCTTTGCGGTAGCGCTGCAGCACGAACGACTGAACCAACCTTGGCTGCTCTCTGACGAATCAACAACTCTGCCATGAGCATACCGTAGGATACCTGAAAACTAAGGAGTCCCTTGTGTTCTGAAGGTCCCACAAACCATGCACTGCTCCTCTGAGTGCCTTCTTCATAAGGACCCTTTTTTCTGCCTCCCGCCTGGCTCAGGACCCGCCCGGGGGGTTGGGGGGAGGAGGGTTAGGGAGCACCCTTTATACCCATAATAAGGACCTGATAAGGTCTATTTGAGGAAGAAAAAGTTCCCTACGTCCCTCCCCCTTACCCCCCTTTGAGGGTCCCATGACTTTTTCTGTGGGCCACGCATTGAAGGCTCAAAGCCCGAGCAGAGATCGAAAATCCGTGCCTGAGTTCCTGTGGAAAATGCTTAACCTGCTGACCTCTTCTGAGGCCCTGCAAAGGAGAGAAAACATCAGCAAGTTTGGGAGACAAGCTCAAGGCTTCGAGTACCCAAGGGGCTTATTGATCTGCTCGCTTGAAAGGTGACGGAAGATGTGCACCTTGGCAGGGTCACATCATGTTCAGGCTGTTAAGGCTCGCCTCTGTTGAGATCAAGGCATAAAGCCAAGCAAGATGTAGCATCTGCGAGCAAAGTCGTCCTGAAACTCCTGAAACCTGCATAAAGGTCCAGTGAGAACCCGACCCACTTCCGGGCCCCTGGAGGCCTCCTCGCGCGACCCGGTGTGCCCTACTGCTCCCGAGCCGGCGCCTTCTTTGCCACGATCAGCTTCCGGGTGAGATCCGAAGCCTGGGTTCCCAAACACATGCAGCATACCATTTTGGGTCTATGGCTGCACGCATATCGAATCGGCTAGCTGGCTAGCTATCGCACTGTACCACCTGTAACACACCCTCTCAGCAAAAGCTGGGCCACTGGGTCCGGAGGCCAGCATGCCAACGCCTCTTGGCCCCCGCCACACACATCCGAAACGCCGAAACCCCGAACGCCAAAAACGACCATTACGGTAACACCAACGAACAGAGAACAAAAGCCACAAAAAGGCGCAACCCTAAACCCTAAACCCCTTCCTCCTGAACCACAACTCCACCCGAACCGCCCAAGAGCGCCTCCTCGGCATTGCCGATGGCCGCCAGACCCAGCTCTTTCAGCGCACCCAGGAGCCCTTCCTGGCAAAGCGACAAGCTAATTGTATAAATCTACTAAAATAATCATAATGTCAAGATAGTACTAAAAATCAAAAAATCTTCACAATTTTAATACAGTCATCTCCCTTAGCATAGTCATACTTGTAAGAACAAGCAGGGTCCTTGTGTTTGTGGTTCTTGCGGCAGGATGTCCATAGTCCATAGTCAATAATCACACTGGTGGCCAGAACAACTACGAATGGTGCTCGTCACACTACTACGACTATGACTGCTCCCTCACTCCCGCCTTGCGCCGCATAAGAATGCAGCAGTACAGGTTTAAGTTGGTTTAGTAAATAGGTCAGCCCATAACCACGCAACAGAATACGCCTTTGGTGACCGGGTATTCGGACGTCTTAACTCGAGCGCATGGTTCGGGTCTAGGGTTATTCGTGGCTCTCACATAGGGCTTGAATTGGCTCTGTTTCGGGATCCTCTCAAATGAAGCAACAATCAACAAGTTGGCAATCATCTAGGCTGGCGAGCCTTTCTTCAAGGCCAACTTTGAACTTCTGGAGACCCGCCTACCCTTTGAACGAAAACCGACGAACTTTTCAAAGCTCACTCACGCTCTCGTTGCCTTGGTCAGGTAGCCGACACGTGCATCATTCCTCAACGGATGCTCAAACAGTGCTTGTCAAAAGCCTAAGGATAGCACAAGAAACCGCTTGCTTGAAATTGGCATGTGCCTGCTTTGTGGATCTCAAGGCACTATGGACAAGTCATACCTGGCAGGTGCCTGAGCAGAGGCTGGCTTCGAGGTGCCATGATGTCACGACATAGTAGTAGCTTTTAGGGGTGCAGGGTCTGCGGTGTAGGGTTAGATGCCTCTTTGCAGTGTGCGTGTGTGTGTGTGTGCTCACCGTCGATGATACGATCTCGCTCGTGCTCCGGATTACTGCAGGCAAGCAGCGATCCAGCCACAAAGTTCCTGCCGCGCACCCGGATTCTACGCAGTTCCAAACTCTCCAAGTGCCGAAAAATTGCAACCCTACGTCTACGTCTCGGTGTTGGGTGTGGCTGTACCAGGCCCCCTCCGACTGCGGCTGCAGCAAATCGAGAAGCACAACCCGGTGCTACTGGGCACTAGGAAAGGACGCTTTGTGTTGTGATGGTACGCTGTCTTCTTATCTTGGCATGACCGTCTATGGCGTTTGGCTCATCGCCTTTGGCCGACCTACCAGCCTGTCCTCGGTCTGCGTCCACATTTATCTCCGACTCCCTATGGCTCACAAGTCTTCCAACTCTAAGACTCCGACGGTATGATTCTACAAAAACCCGAATTCCCGGGTCCTGATCTCCGACTTGGCCTGGCGGGGCGGTTTGGACTGTCGCGACTGGGAGGGTGTTTATGGCCGGGATGCTGGAAACAGCAGAAGGACGCCCTCGACAAAATAGGGGAAACACAGACATGCAGATATATAGCCGCTATATGCCACAAAGATGTACAAAAACAAACACTCAGTCGTGTCTGGGGCCCAAAACACCAGACTCCAAAGCCTTTCAAAAAGTGCGTCAACATCAAAGAAAACTCCCATCATGCCCTTACACAAGCGAGCCAAAGCCAAATGAGCTTCGGCACCTCCGAAGCGGCGTTGCTTTCAAGCAGCCCGCCGTCCTGCCACAGGTGTTCAGTTCATATCGGCTTTAGCTTACAGTTACACTAGGGTTTAGTGGGGTGCACAACTGCATCGGGCGATTTAGGGACTATAAGCGAAAATCGAACGCAGTTCGTAAGTGTTCAGACCCCCATACTTCGACCAACAAGCATGCACGGCTACACTTCTTCAATTAAAGTGGCTACCCGTTGCGGGCTCAAGTTGCCTGGCTCTGGCGGTTTTTTTGTTTTTGTCACATGGCTACGACACTTCTTCACTTGAATGATCTAGAGTGCTGCGGGGTCTATCGCTCATGTAGAAACTCTTTGCACGACTTTCGGGCAGCCGATGGCACAGAAACCTTCCTCGATTGCAAGCCCGGGGCTATGCGCACGGACCCTGGATGTTCACTAGACTACGCTCTGGTTCGCCCCGAATTCGAGGAACCCAGCCTCCAGCCACTGCGCACGCTCCAAGGTGACCTGACCAGGCACAGCAACAAAGGTGCGAACCTCTGCTTCTACAGACATGAGCTGAAGCCTGAATTTGGGCCTGTGCTCGAACTCAGCGCTGCAGCAGATTTGCCTAGCTGTTAGGACTTGGCAGCCTGCTAAAAAGTACCTGGACCTTCACCTCTTGATTTCTCCAGCTGACAGGGAGTCCGGGCGTGGAACGTCTGAAACGAATATCAGAATTCTGATCGAGTCAGGCTGCGCAGATGTGCAGTTGCAACACTGCAGCTGCAGATGCCCACACCGGCAAACAGTGAAATAGCATGCCGTAGCTACAGCTCCGTGGGCGAATTCATGCTCGGAAAAGCTCGCAGCTTCCGGATGGACCGATAGCTGTGGCTATTTGCACACCAGTTCCCGGGTCCTGCCAGTCACAGCAACGGCTTCAAGCAGCTCTGACTGGTGCTGGATGGTGCGGCACCAATAAAGACACAAATCAAGAAGTAAACAATGCATGTATATGCGTATATGTAGATATATATATATATATCTGTGTGTGTGTGTCTGTCTGTATATGTACACAGATTACATAGTAGCATGCTTTGCGCATGCGGCACTACGCTGTATTTCCGCGTGTTTTATTCTATCTTAAAATGTTATGTTCTGTTACCTTTTGTATACTTCATTTATACTGCTTCATCTAGCTACTCCTAGAGCCCTGAGCCCCCGATCTCCTCCACCAGGCATTGTATATCTGCTGCAGCTCCGGTTGCGGCAAAGGGCACCGCTTTCTTGGAAAGGGCGCGTGAACATTAAAAGCCGGGTTTGCTGGCCAGGTCTAAGGACTCAAGGGTCACTCCAGTGGTTACTACAAGAGCTACTATAATTCGTAATCATGCAGGAATGCCTACCACACCACAGGACAAGGGGTCCTGCAGGGCAGATGCCATGTGAGTGAAGCATAACACCGAGGAGAAGAGCTCCTAACCCTGGCCTTAGCCCCTAGACTCGAAACCCTGAATCCGAAATTCCCACACATCTTCCAGGCGTCTGGAGGATGGTCGTTGGCGTGAAGCGCCAAGGTTTCCACTCGGCGATGAAGTGGATGAGCTGGCATCGCGGTTGTCTTTGGAGTTCGGAACCCGAGAAGGAATTCGGAATGCTAGGACCCTTACTTTTCAGGAAACTTAAGTAATGTCTTAAAGTAAGGTATCCTGAAGCCGTACATGCCCTACGTTAGAGAAACATTCATATTTGGCATAGGCACATGTATGCACGTGTGAGCAAAGAGGGGCTTGAGTAGGTCTGTAGTTTTGCATACCACAAGCATTTAGGCCAGTGTAGGCAGGCATGCAAGGGTGGATTTTTTGGGGTAGGCGGGCACAACTGCATGAAAACACGAATGTGGGCAAAGACGCGTACACGCGTGCACGCACTGCTTACACTGCTAAGACGCGTAAACGCCTGTACTGCTTGCACTGCTACCAATGACAAGGATATCAAAACTGCAAGCAGGCGTAGAATCGAAAAACTCTCGCGACGACAGCCCAGAACATGCAAGCAGCATACAACAATGACAGATTATCCCAGAATCACTCCTGAATATGCAATGAAGCAACAGAAACAGTTGAAGAGGTGCTGGTTGAAGACACATCACATGCCTACAATACGTGCGCGCATGCGTGCGTGCATGCGTGCGTGCTTGCGTGCGTACGTCCAGACTTACTTGCGGACATGCATACGTAAAGGCATACATGCATGCAGGCAGGCAGGCAGGCAGACAGGCACATTATATTTGCTTACATACTTGCATACGCATGCATGAATGCATGCATGCATATAACTGCATATACACACGTACTTACATGCATGCATGCAGACATACAGACGCACATACGTACCTCACATACATACATTTATGCATCCATACTGTCACCATATATTCATATATCCATACGCACATGCCTACATGCATGTGCGCTGGGAACCGCACCCAGCCAAAAGACAGCATCGCACGAATGGTCTGGCATGCCACGCAATCAACTTCGCAGAACGTAGAGCAGCGCGGATGATACTGAACGGTCTCGAACGGGATGGGCATTGGGTATCCCGCACGGTAAGCTGCCCTGCCAACTGTCATTGCGCAAGACTGTCTGAAATACATCCGCGCATCCGAACGGGGAGTTCTCAAAGCCTCACAGCTCTCAATTTAAGCGGCTCTTCCAATTATCTTCGACAGCGGGGAACACGGAGGCCCCATTTCTGATCCAAGGTACTGTGGCATGTTTCAGCACCCACTCGGCAGATTCCCCAAAGTACTTCTGCCAGTGCCTGGCACACACATGCGAGCTTAAGCTGCAGAAAACAAACCATGCTGCCACTCCAGGTTGCCTCAGACTTGAGTAATCCAAACGCCAAAGGCCAGTACGTACTACTAAACAAGAGACTTGAATGTGACTAGAACTGGTAGCGAACCATGATTGCTGGGGCTGCTTACCTCTTAGCTGTGGACCTCCCAGCTGGGCAGCTGATGGTTATGTAGAAACTGCAAAACGACTGCACTGGTCTCGGTTATTCTAATTCTATCTCCTACCAATCCTGTCTATACCTGTTACTCCATCTCTTCTTAAACTAGGCTATCGTGTTGCGTGATGCACCTGCCGATTGTACTTGGTGCTCCTGCTTCTGCAAGGCTTCTTCATTTTCCCGCGGGCTGCACAAACCTTGTCTAGTACATCCAAGCAATCTTGTTCTCGCGCGCTGTGCTTGTGTATCTTCTCCCGTTGCAAAATGTTGTACAGTGTAACTGTATTGAGTAGTGGCCACTGGAGATTGCAGCTTCTGCTGATAGCATGTCAGATGCTGAAGGTCTTACATATCTCCCCTTCGGAAGAGTATGCGAAGTGAAATCGGTGCCGCAGTGCCGCGAAACCCCAGTAGTCTCCTCATTCTATCTCCTCTATCTATCTCGCAAGGCTTGAAAAATGCAGTCTCACCCCGCCGAAGTGCACGGCTGTCTGTTTGCCTGTGCTGTATGTCAGCCTGCGGGTCCGTCTATCTGCCTGTCTGTCGGGCTGGCTGTCGGTCGATCTGTCAGTCCGTCTCTTTCTGCATGTGTCTCTCTCTCTCTCTCTCTCGCTCTTTCCTCCTGGTTCTTGTTCGATCTCTTCAGCTCGTAACCTAGTTCTGTACTAGCTTGATGGGTGTCGGTTTCTTGTTTACCTAACTATTGTCGTTGATGGTAGGTTCGTTCGGCCATGTATATGTACTAATCTTTCTTACAACCCTTCCTTGGCCTGTAGACAAATGGAGGCTTGTGCACCCCGTCATCGCCGCAGAACTCGCCGATCAGCATAGTGTAGTATCCCGGTAGCAGGGAGATGGTGTCTTCTCGGCGCAGGGAAGACACTTGAAACGCTTCCTAGACGTGGCCACGCGAGCTCACCACTCTGGGAGGGAAGTAAAAAGGACAACGAGCGCCAAGCCGCTGAAGCGCCTGTTGACCCAGTCCATCTCTGATGCAAGGTGGAGGCTTGAGCTGGTGTCGAGAACACCTGCAAAGTGGACAAGCCGAGAACAGTTCGGCCTCCATCATGTCTCGCTACGGCTACTGCAGGAGCAAACCCTCCATTGAGATGGCAACCATTGCTCTGCAACATGTGGCGTCTCGGTCAAGGTAACCACAACCACAACCCAAAGCCAGGGCATCAAGGTCTCAACCACAAAAAATCTGTTGTAGTTTCAGAGAATAGTGAGACCAGGGTACCCTTATATAGAACCCTCCCCCCTCCCGAATACCGTACCCCAATTTTCCGAATCTCCCATATCTCCAACTCCACTCAGGCTTATGCCCAGGCGCTGCCGAAGTCCCGGTCGTAGAAGATGCGCCGGGGATCGATGATCATCGGGCCACCGCTCATCGCGCCGTGTCCATCCCAGTAGGACTCAGCTGCTTAAGTACTTCAACCGGACCTCTGCAACCCAGCGTCGACTCAGTGATGCTCTCGACAACCTGCTGACAAAAGGCGAAGGGTGTCGCGATCTCCACCGGAAAGTTGGCCAAGTCAAACCTCGGCGCACGGAAGGGCCAGGCAGACGTCTGCTGGCGGCTGCGCCGCTTTGGCCCAAGCCAGTTCCCCAAACAGCCCTTCCACGAAGCAGGCAACGCTGAGAGATCAAAGACCCCTTAGGGTTCACATGCCGATCAGCCAATACCGTCACCTCAGAACTTCCATGGAGTGTGAGAGAAATGATAAGGACAGAGTAACTATGAGCTTAGGGGCAAGTTGTCCAGGCTGCCGATAGGAAAGCTGTCAGCATCCATGTAGATAATGCGGTCGTACTGGTACAAACTGGCCTCGGAACACAGTTTCGAGCGTGCACAAAAGTTCCCTGCACCGCGCTGAAGCCCCTGCCCAGGCCAGGGTTCATGATAAGGATCCTCATGCCAAAGCCTCACATTGGCCTTTGCTCGCCTCCAGCTACCCCTGATCTGGCGATAGACTAGGAAATGTCCATCCGAGGCGAGACAAGCGGCCACTCGAAGTTTGAGATAAGACTGCACCCACTGGTACATGCCTTTGCTGGTGGTCTGATGCACCTTCTCAGTGGCACAACCGCTGGGGAAAGGAGAGTCTCCGTGCAGCCCTTTGCCGCGACTGTCGCGAGTCCTCGAACTAAGCCCTAGACAGACTCCCAGAGAGGGTCATGACGTAGTCACGGATTTCTACGCGATAAAGTAAAGTCACGGTAGAGTAGCTTTTCTGGGACCTCTTATTACCAGACCCTACGTCTAAGACCTGAGGCCGCGGATCCCCGAATCCGCCTTGATCAGCTTGATGCCCAGCTTCTCAAAGCGAGAGCGACGCGGCACCTCCTCGAAGTGAACCACAACCATATCCGCATTGGGCCTCAAACCGTTCCTGGGATGTGGCAGCCGGACTCACTAGCACTCACCTCTCGGCAGTGCTTGAAAACATAGGGTTTTTAGGCCCAAGAGTATAGACACTCACACTTGGACACCTGTTCGAGGAGGCAAAGTTATCGATGTCAGTGCAGGTTTGGGGCGGTGCAAAGAGTTTTGAATTTTTGGTGTTACTCCGGTTCCACTGAGAGAAGTCCGTGCTTGAACAGCCGGCTCTCTCCTCGAAGCACTAAGAAAAAGCGTTTCGAAAACCTGCTACACATGAGGAAGTCTCTGCTTGATAAACCAGGCATTGACAAGGATGGCACACGCATAATCCTCAAATTGCCTGGGCTCGCCTGCCAAATACCAGGCATAGGCCACGCGACCGGTTGGCGGAGGTGGCTTGCCCACAGGTGTCGCCACAGTGTCATTCCAGCCATGGATGCCCCAACTTGGGCCTGAGACAAGTTCAGCCACACTCGGGACATCGGGGTTTGCGGCTGAAGCAGCAGGTGCGGCATCTGCAATAGGTGTCGCAGCTGCTGCAGCTGCTGCTGCTGCGGCTGCTGCTGCTGCAGCCGATTCGGCGGTCGCAGCAGTCACGGACGAGACTTCGGGAATCGAGGGAACCGCGCCAGGAGCGGCAGGAGCTGCAGGAGCGGCAGGGCTCCCTGTCGTTTCCTGGGGCCTGCCAGAAGCTGCCAGCCCAGGGTCTCCCGCCCCCTCTAGAGGTGCTCTTCCAGAGATAGTTTCCTCCCTCCGAGCCACACTCCGAAGGGCGTTGGAGGCTCTTCTGGGCTCAGGCTCTGGAGGAGCGGACCTCTCTGGAACCGGTTCCGCGCGCTGCCCAACAGCTGAGGAACCTTCCTGGGAAGTCAAAGCCAGCAGCACCAGGGCCGTTACAGCAAGACCAAAAAAGAAACGCAGGGCGGAGGCAAAAGCTCCACGCGGGGCTTTGGAAACGGCTTGCATGGCCGGGACGAGCTCTTTCAGGAGCCTTGCATAGTAATGAACTAGGGTTCTGGAAGATAGAGGCTGCTGACCAGCACTCTTGCAGATATTCTGCGGACGTGCATACCAGAAGGCCTCTGAATGTCCTATCATGATCCGGAACTACTGGCCAGGTCTTAAAGCAGATCCCTGAACTCACCTGAGCCAAAAGCTGAGGAGGGCTTCAAGTGGCCTGAACTTGGTCGCGTACCGTAGAACGGTATACAATTAGACCGTCACCAACTTCATGTTTTCATGGATGTCGAACGTTTAGATGGACGGGGTGCAGGCACAGACATAAGCATGCGTGTTGGGAGCCCTCTTTGTAAAGCCGCACACGCTCCTTCCCAGAAAAATCGAAAACAGACAAAAAAACGAGCAATCGAAGACTCCGACCCAGCCCATGCACCTGTTCTTCTTTGTGCGTGCCGCTGATTGTACCCTCCAGCACAATGACATAGCGCACACCTGCAGCGAAACCACCAAGACAACCGTGCTTCCAACATACCTTTTGCACTGTGCATCCTGCGATCATTCTTCTCAGGGAGAGTTCCCGCCCTGATAGCCTGATACCCTCGAACGAACTATCGTGGGGTCCGCACCGTCGGGCAAAGCACCACCAGATTTCAGGTCCTTGATGACCTCAGAAATGGCCACTCGCTCGCTCGAGTTCTGACATGGTGGACATGACTGCTTGGAAACTCTAACCTCACGCTGGGACCCTTACCACAGACTTCGCGATGTCATTCCGCTGGGTGGACGAGAACTGTGACATCACGGGGCACATCCTTGGCAGCATGTCATAAGAAGGGCTCGGTGTGGGAAAGACAGGAGGTCGATTATTTGAGAAGAGAGGATGAGATCTCTCGAAGCCTTGATGAGGCTCCACTGTGCAGCGCAAGATGGTACGAAGACTAGCTCTGCTCGCCCCAGCACTGGAAAGCACGCAAGTCCTAGACGCAATGCCCTGCGCACCAAAGCCTGCATCAACAAACACTTACAAACGGCGCATGTTTGGACCATTTTACCTGATGCAATCTCCGTAGTCATCACAAGCCAAGGGGCCTCAAACCCTTCTGCACCAAGGCGGACTCAAGGATGCCACCCAAGTCATTGCCCAACACCTCCTTCAGATCCTGCCCGGTGCGTGCGCGCAGGAGGCTGGAGGGTGCAGCTTCTTGTGTAGAATGGTGCAGCACTGTGGCAGGCGGCATCTCTTGAAATGTGGAGCTACAAAGGCTTCAAAGACGCATGCTTCCATGCTTGCGAAACATGAACCTCAGACTCCGGACGGGCTCCGTGACTGTGACACATGTGACCTAACTGGGGCATGGCCTTCACGCTGATGCAGAGCAGCTCTGTCCTTGGTGCTGGTGCTGGTGCTGGTGCTGGTGCTGGTGCTGGTGCTGGTGGTGGTGGTGGTGGTGGTGGTGGCGGCGGTGGTGGTGGTGGCAGTGGTAATGGTGGCAGTAATGCTGGTGGCAGTGGTGGTGGCGGTGGTGGTGGTGGTGGTGGTTGCGGCGGTTGCGGCGGTGGTGGTGGTGGTGGGGGTGGCGGTGGCAGTGGCGGTGGCGGTAGCAGCAGCAGTTGTGGTGGTGGTGGTGGTGGTGGTCGTAGTAGTAGTAGTAGTAGTAGTAGTAGTAGTAGTTTGTCACCCACTTGGCACGACTGAGTCAGCACTGCGGGGCCACAAGCGTCACGAGGTAGTCAAGGAGTCAACGAATCACCATAGCCCAGACAAGAACCACACCTGTCGTAGTAGCAGTAGTAGTAGTAGTAGCAGCAGCAGCAGTAGTAGAAGTACAAGTGCCAGTACTAGTGCAGTAGTAGCAGCAGCAACAGCAGCAGCAGCATCAGCAGTAGAAGTAAGAGCAGTCGTCGTCCTCGTCGCAGTAGTCGCAGCAGTCGTAATAGACCTACTAGCGGTAGTGGTGGATTGATGTTCCCCAATGCAACCCATGTTCTGCAAGTTCGACTCCCCCTGGCCCTGCCCCTCGGATCCCTGCTTTGCGTCTGCCAGGAGCGTGTGATCCCAGCTAGGGCGCTGTTTCTGACCTCAGCGCTCTGTTGCTCAACCATCAGCCTTTATTCACGTGCCTGGCTGAACGCAACATGATACAAGGGCAAAAGAAAGTGGCTCCAAAGAAAAGAACACAAACAATCCACTTCAATTTGGAGGGTGGCCAATTAGAACCGACTTGCGTGCGCATGCATTCGGCAGGACAGGTGAGCGGCGATGCTCTGATTCGCTAATGAGAATATCGTAGGTTCAATTATTGCCCTCTTGGCAGTGGGTGGAACAGTACCATGTGCCGTCCACTCCAACTTCTGCAGGACTCTTTGGCTTTCAATGCGGTAGACCCTCTGCCTCTGCACCAAAGCAGCAACGCTCCAGAGGGAGCTAGTTGAGATCCATTGCTTCAGGGCTCAGAGGGGCAGCTTCACGCAAGCCAAGCCACTCAGGAGAAGTGCGGCGCCGATGTACTCACCCGACGAGAGCTTCTGTGCCTCGCCCCGAGTTTTGACAAACGAGCAACAGCACCTGTAAATTGAAAGATCCAAGGCATCCGAGCCATGACCGCAAATGCAGCATGCCTGAAGTACATGTGCCTGTCTGCAAGGTGCGTCGCATGCAGTTTCCTTGACACTTGAAGTGATGGTGCCTGCACACCGCCCTGGAACTTGCCGTCTGCCTTCCTTGGCCAATGCGCACAAGTTCTCGGAAACTTGTAAGATCTACGTGTACACGACCTGTCATTCGTACGCAACTACGGTAAACTTGGCTCCGAAGATTTGCCGTGTGATTACATCGAGCTCCAGGCGGAATGATGAAGGCACTGACCTCCATTAGACTTCTGAATTCTGCAGTTGAGGTTCACTTCGCCACCAGACATCACAGAGAGCCCTCCGCGTTTCACCTCAGTGGGGTCAGCGAAATCAATCCCTGTCAGAAGCATGTGCTTGAGACGTGCCATAAACCCCAGGGACAGCACAATAACAGTGACTGTGCAGGAACAACCTCCACATCCGCAGATGCTTTCGTACCTCAAGGACTTAGGCCAGGAAGTTCAGGAACTTTGCGCCAGCCATAGAGAAGAAGAGGACTAAGAGCAAGAAGACGCAGAAGGAAAGATGGCAGGCCAAGCAGTCAAAGAAATAAAGGAAATCCGACCCTCTCGGCAGTCTTCCCACCGAAACACCTTGACGCCCCAGACCTGAGCCTCGAAAAGACAAAGAACCCATAGCAGGAGCAACAACGAGAATTCAATTTGCATCCAGGCCTCTGTGCCTGAACTCCGAAACCCCAAACCACCCGAAGTATTCGCTGCAAAGCAGGTGGCGAAGTAGATAGCCGCCAGGGATTCCCCTTGGGTCGCCACGCGCTGGCCCGCCTGGCCGAGACTCCCCGTAGGTCAAACCAAGCGACAGGGAAAGAATACAATCCCGAGGGCACCCCCGAGTGTTGCTGAAAACAGAACACCGCAATACGTCCAGCATGCGAGTCGCCGCCGGCAAGGTTGACGGGACTTGTCCTATCGAAGCTGGCGTGGTAGCTGTGCTTACATGGGCTGGAGCCTCCAACTTTGTCAGAGGATGCAGTGCCCATTGAGGTGCGCCCGAAAGAGTTGATGTGGCTTCCATCAGCATATTCTTAAAGGAAGACCTCCTCGTGCTTCGGGTTCAGTGGAAGCTGGGCGATGCCTGCTAGGCGTGCCAGCTTTCTGAGCGTCTCTGCCCGACCGCTCCGCATAGCCCATGGCTGCACCTCGGCATGTTCCGGGCACTGCATCTTGCCACTGCCCGTTGGGGCAGTGCCCACCTTATCCCAGCCTTGCATCAGCCGAGGCCACCCCGGCATGGGGGTTGGCGTGGGCTCCCGCTAGACTATCTGTTTGAGCTACTCCTTCAATTCATCTCCAATCGGCGCATAGAAGGCAGCCGTCAGCGCGTTTTCTACACATTCTTGCCGTTCTCACACTCGTGCTTTGCACGCAGGAAGCTTCTGTTGCGCGTGCTGTCTTCGATAAAGAAAAGCACTCTGAGAATGATGCGTGGCAACACGATGTGGCAAATCGAGGCCGTGCCGATCCCTTTCCGGGAGCGATATCCTTCGCTTGCTCTTACCTTTGCCATTCACTTTGGCGACCATCCGTCTTGCCATGCATGTCTTTAGTCCGGCTGCATGTCAGCCGACATGCAAGCCGCCCAAAGAGTCACTCTTAGGATGCAGGGCACACGTCAATATCATCACTACCCTCGCTGTAATTGGGCTCAAAGTCGTGGCTACTCCTGTTAACTATAAATAAGAAACATGCAGGCTTGTGGGTGCACCAAGAACTTGAGTATTGAGCCGTAGCCAGCAGCAGTGTATGTTCTGCTTACGTTGTCGCTACCGGCCTTTAGCGGAACATGCATTTCCAAGTCATTACCGACTATTCACACATAATATAGGGGTCTTAAATATTAGAATGGGGTTTTGGGGCCCATTATACTATAATCATAATAACGAACCCCCAAAATAGTATTGGTAATTATTTAGGCCCCTACATTAGATCCAGCATGGCAAACGAGTGCGCCTCGAAGGCCTCGGAGAAAGCAGAAAGAGCGATCTGGTCCTGGAGCCCACACAGAAGGCTAGAGCTGCTAGAACATTCTGCATGAGCATCCACAATCGACTTTTGCACCTGCTCCAGAGAACCACCACCACCACCACCACCACCACCAGCAAATCTTAAGACGGCGACAACCAGAGCTTGCTCTTCCGGCAGTGTTGCTTGCCATCATGCTGCCGATGCTAGCAATCCTGCGATGATTACCAGCGACGATATACCACGGCTAGTTGTAGAACCAGCCTAACTAGCAGACCTTCTGCTCACAAGCTTGCAGACCGAACTCCAAGCTTCACATGCAGCATAACTTAGCATAACCCTTCCCAAGCCCAACTTCAGACAAGCTGGCCGAAATCTCGCAGAGAGATTGCACTCTGAGATCTGAGACTCGAAGACCTTGTGATCCCGTGCCCCAAAAAGGACCTTCTGTTTCTGATTGAGGCCGTCGAAAACCTTGATGGAGTCTAGGAACTTCAGGTTGTCAGCCTGAAGGGTCGAGGGGCCACGGACTTGCATCAGAGCGATGGGCTTGCAGTTACATGGTTCGGGAGGGGAAGTGGAGAGGTTAGCCCCCGGAGTTAAAACGCCAACGGCAAACGATGCACTGAGATTCATGGCCTGGCGGTTGGCTGCATTCTGCGCAAGCACCTGTGATCAGCTGCAATGGGGTGCTGTCGGTCCTATCTTGTATAAATGCATGCATATGGACACATAGGTGCAAGTATCTCAACCGATGACTGGCCGCCGACCATGCTGCAGACCCTCGCATGGCCCCTTGCCGCCTGCTTGAAATTGTTTCCATTCGCTCCCCATACACCCGCTTTGCTGAGAGCTTGCACAGTGGCTGTCCTGGCATTGGGGAAATGAAGTAGTCTGCATGAGCTGCATGAGCTGACAATCCTTCCTGTGCTCACACACACAAGCAGCAATGGCAGACTGGTCTCCTGGGACAGTTGTAGAGCAATGCCAGGCCTGACAGCCAAATCCGAGGAAACAGACAACAAAGTTTACGGTGCATCACTAAACGGAAAGGGCCATGCAAGGAACTCTCGCCCGGCCACCTGCGTAGGCTACATGGCTCGCAGATCTTGTGTACAGCTCATGGCTGACAGGCCGGTGACACGTCAAGGCATGCCGACCAAGAAGGCAAGGCCCAAAGACGATTTCGGCAGCCATCCTCAAGCAGTTCAAATCCCGCCTCCAAAAGCCTTGCCCTCTTTGAGGGTATTGACCACGTTACCTGGGATGCCACGAAGAATTGGAGTAGAGTTTCGAGGTATATTGAACCATGTTGATACGAGTAGTAGGGGCTCTGGGGGGAGTCGTGAGCAGCCGGCGTTCTTGTAGTAGAGGGGCCTGAACGTTGACGAACCGTCTGACCCCCTATAGTCCCTGCCAGAAATATTGAAAAGCGTAGTGCAACCTAACATTCCATAGCGCCGTGCAGCACAGCATACGCAACGACATTTGTCTTAAGTCTGGACACAAAGTCGACTCGGAAGTTTCCCAGCTGTCCTTGCCTTCTGACCCTGGCTTCTTCAAGCTATCACAGAACCATCATGGCTACGATCATCATAAGGGCTCCATAACTCCATAACGATCCTCGGGTTCATTATTGTAGGGCTTATGAGGGCTCCAAAACAGGGTTTTCTAAATTATAGGTATAGAAAAACATTTGGGCTACAATTGCAGAATGGTCCGCAGCCTGGCTCTTTTATCCAATGCCACCTGGGTGCCGTTCACGGAGACCTCCAGGGTGCCCGTGTCGGTGACGAAGAAGGTGGTGCCCATCTTTCCCTGCTCCACGATGAGACCTTAATCTTGAGTTCTTGTGGTTTGGCCCTATGAAGGAGCACGAATACGGCTGGGCGTTCGTTGTATCACTTTCCAATGTCCAGCTTCGAAGCGACTTGCAGTGTGATACACAAGTATCTAGACCACAGACACAGCTACAGCAAGTAACAGGCAACTCGGACGTGAGCAAGTAAAACTCATCAAATAAATGTCTGCCCCGTCCGATTTTGGCAGCGCTGGCATGTTCGCTTCCTGCCCAAAGGTAGTTGTCACTGCGACCAGACGAAGCTGCTGTATCGATGCTACACGGACGAAGGTTGGGTATAGGCCACATCCTGTCTTAGAAGCAGCCCTTGATGCTTCCAAGCCGCTCCCCTGCTCAAACCTTAGTTGTGCGAATGCCTCGAGCCCACGGCCGCTGCACTCTGTCATTTACATTGCCGCTCCAGGAGCTCAAAGTACTCCATAGTGGAGAGGATGGCTTCGACCTTGTTCACAACGCGCTCGTCGCAATAGAAGGAGACAAGGAAACAAGACTGAAAGCCGGCAACCCTGCACCCAGCATCTAACAAGCAGAGTAGACTCAGCAGGTGCAAGCCATCAACACGGACCAAAGCTTCTTCAATCTGGAATAAGTCGAGCTTGGATTCTGCCACAAATCAACTTGCACGGTTGCGCTTGTGTCAGATGCATTCCGTTGAGCCCATCACCTCTGACTCCTCCAAGATCGCACAAACGCGGTCCTGACTTGCTGGATGCTTTCTGATGCGATTTTGGGGGCTCGCCAAACAGCTTTGCTCTGGACTTCGCTACCTGTGGCACAATCCAAAACCCTACAGTAAAAAGCTAAAACGTGTGTTTCGAAAACAAAAATTCTGCGATAACCGATAGCACACAAGCTTGCCTGCTTCATAGCGGTCTTGAGGAGCTCCTTGACGGCCTTTGGCGTCATAAAGAGCACAAGAGATGACTCCGTGACTCAAGGAAACACTGAAACCCTATGCTCTGCCGCTGGGTGAATGTCGAATTTGACCCCCCCCCCCCGGCAGGTATTCATGCAGCCTTGTTCATCTCCTTTTTGATCTTGTGCTGCGACAGGTACTCCTGCGGCGAATTACGGAAATATTATGAAAGCGGCTGCCGGATGCTCAGCGAATCGGACTCTGCTGTTCGGACTAAGCTGAACAGGGACTTTTTTTCGGGCGCAAGAAATCTGAGATGAAGGTGCAACGACTCTGTTTTTGCTGCCCGAAATGCATGCCGCCGCTGTCGCCGAAATCGCATTCTGCGGTCGCGCACGAAGGTCTCCGGCTGTCGACCACGGGTCGAAGTCCAGGGCTTCAGGTTTAGGATTTCAAAGTCTTGTTGGTACTAGCCTTTAGTGCTTGCCGATTTTTTTTCGAGAAGAACCACCCGGAGAGGGCTCAAGCCCCGGTCGAGAAGGTCGCTTCAGAGCCCTTCTTCTTGCGGCCAGAGTGGAGATGACAGAAGTCCTGAGACGGCGAAGGCTTCTGTCCAGGCTTGGGGGCTGCAGGGCCGGAGGGTTCCGGCGAAGCTCTTCTGGGCCTGAAGGATGTCGACTCTCAAAGCTGGGATCATAGTATATAGTTGAATCTAACTTCATTTAATCGAATATAACATAGTATTATAATGCGTTATAGAATAATTGCAATACAACACAATAGAATAGAGAGAATAGGATAGAGAATAGAATGGACTTAGAATAGAGTCGAATGGAGTTAGAACAGAATTAGTATAGAATAGAATTAGAATTGAATTAAAAATGGAATTAGAAAAGACTAGAATAGAATAGACTCTGATATAATACAAGATTAGCAGCTGATTCCGACAATGCGAGCCTTTCAGCTCAACGCGGCACTCGTAACGCGAATCTATCGAAGGCAAAGCGACGCATAGCCAGGACTTCTTGCAGCGTCCAGGCACCCGCTCGAACATACAGGGCCTGGCAGAGCAAGCAGGGACTGCAACCAACAGCCGCATGATCACAGTCAGCACATCGACTCTGCTTATGTACAGTCCTGGGTTAAGGGTCGGAAAGCTGGACCGGCAACACATGGCCCTTATATGAAGACCTAGGGACGCTGCCGTCGCCTGCATGGAGCGCGCGTCTCGCAGCTGTGCACCAGAGACCCAAAGGAGCGCACCTGATTCGTGGGCGAGTCTGTGATTGCTATACCATGTGTATGTGTATGTATGTGTGTATATATACATATATATATATACATATGACCCCTTCCTTCTCTGCGGCCTGCCCGGAATGGGTGGGGCCCAGCTCAGCCGAGCTTCACGCAGCCCGACTGCATTATCTGGTCGCGAATGCCATCCTAACTGGTTTGGTTCTTTTTACTGTGGTATTCTGGACCTACCCTCCTGTGAGCAAAATCTAGCGGCAGCCCAGTAGACGCATCTAAGCACTGACTGCTGCCGCAGACTTTGCCAGAGATTGCGGAGCCTGTTACAACGCCAGGCCTGCAAACGGCCTTGAGGCCTTAAGGCAGATCGCAAACACACCGAGGGGAAGGTCTAAGTGCAACAGCAATTCTGAAGACTGCATGCTCTTTGTTGCTGTGGCACCTGCTCTGTTCCGAGAAGAAGCCTGGGACCTACGACCAGTCGGCATGAGTCCGACGATGGTCATATGTTTGGTACTGCCCCCGCCCATACAGTAATAATAATAAGGGTAGTATTCAGGGCCGTACATCGGCAAAAATTACCCAACAAACGCAACCACAACATCGTCACCAACACCATCACCTGCCGGCCACTGCAGCGTGCTCTGCGTAGAAGGATACTCACGGGCAGCTGACAAACGTCTCTATATCATCGTCATCGTGATCCGAGGCGTCATCGCCAGCATCACAACCATCAATTGCACAGATGTTATCATCTCCATCATCACCACGACAATCTGCACTGTTCTCGCCCATGACCTTGGACCAAACACTGCGGCCAAGTGCAGCCAGTCAGCTTGGACGGGCTCCGCAGTTTCTGACGGAGTGTGGCGCAGACGGAGTACGTCCGAAACCTCGGTTCAGGTTTTCGGTTTCAACACTCGCAAAAGGTATGCAAGGACGGCTCAGGGTTCAGATGTTAAGGGGTTTAGGTTTTCGATGCTAGTGTTAGAACTCTCCGGATGGCTGCCAGCAACTGCAGTGGCATTATGTGGCAACAGCTACTTGTCTGCAAATTATACACGCACGCAGGGGCCTGAGACCCGCTGTATCAGTTTAAAAATTTTGTCATTAAGTCAAGCGTAGCTGCGTAGCGAATCGGAAGACCCAGGGTAAGGTTCCTGCCGTTTAGCAAAATGCGCCTTGCAACTGAAGAGCTTGGTCGTAAGTTGGCCTTCCTGGCTACACACAAGACCCACTTAAAGACATACGTTTTTTATACTGCTTTCTGGTCTGACATACTCTCATATGCTATAATACACTGTTATAGACAAGAAATATGCTCTATATATATATATATGTATATGCATATATATATATATACATATACGCTAAAGACATACCTCAATCTTCGGTAACGTAAAACCTGATCCTAGCAGCTGAGAGCACGGAGGACCGACTCCGAACCGGAAGCTTCTCACCGGGCACCGAAGATTCGATCCAAAGGTCCTCGTCTCGCCGCTTTCAGCTCGGTTTAGGGTTTAGGGGTTTGGGTTTTTTTCAATGGTTTTAGGGTTTGGGTTTTTTCCCGAAGGCTCTGCGAAGGGTTCTTTGGAAAAAGTTGTTGCCTGCTTACACTACACACATGCGTGCCTTCATACATTGCACTACTTACACGGCCTTTGTTACCTTCCACTACTACACTGCCTTAGATGTAAATACTAGCCTGCTTGATTTCCTAATATTTAAATACCAGCCTATTTAAATTCCTAATAATCAAAAAAATCTCTGTTAATTTAATCCATTTCTTTCAGCCGGGGTCGGTCTGGCGCACCCTAGCGCGATGAACCTCTACAGGGATGCTGCGTGTCGCGGCGCTGGCGCTGTGGCGAGGTGCGCAATTTCAACGTCGCCGATGAACCCTGTTCAGGGATGCTGCGTGTCGCGGCGCTGGCGCTGTGGTGCGGCACAAACTGTGTGGCCAACGGATGAACCCTCTACAGGGTTCGCGCGCGTCGACGCGCTGGCGCTGTGGCGCGGTTGTCGGTGCCGCCGATGAACCCTTTACAGGGATCGTGCGTGCCATCGCCGATGAACCCTCTGCGGGATCGCGCGCGCGTCGCATCGCTGGCCTGGCGCTGTGGCTCCGAGCACTCAAAATTCTGGTGGAGGAAGGAATTGAGCCAAGGAATTGAGCCAGTGGCTCAAATTCTGGTCGAGGGAGGGTAGTAAGTAGCCCAAATCAAGGAAGCAGCCGGGAGTATGAGCAAGGACGCTGTTCAGTTGGGGAGGGGGGCAGAGGGAATAGCCCTTCGTACTGCCCCTCCCAGCCCCCCGCTCCCGTGTTCTGAGCCCTAAACCCTAAACCACGTCGGTCTTCGTAGTTGTAGTAGTAGCAGTCGTCGTAGTAGTAGTAGTAGTAGTAGTAGTAGTAGTAGTAGGCGCGCCCCCCCCCTACCAACTACACTTGCTCTTAGCCATGTTAAGACAACATCCATTTTACTCGGTATTTACAGCACTTT